CAGAATGAATTTGAAATTCTGTTTGTAAGTTAAGCAACCTTCCAATCAACCTTTAATTTTGACTAACAAAACTTTCAAGTGATGAACACTTACGAGAGGACTTTAAAAAGTTCAAGGAAAATTGGAATTATATGATGAGTTTATTTAGGTATAAAAGAAAGCTTAAATCCAGGCATGTTTTAAAAAATAAAATGCATTTTCCTTTAACTTTTCGAAGACTCCCTTATAAAAATCCCCAACCAAACAAAATAAAATAAATCAAAACATTACAAGAGGAAGAAGAAATCTGGTTGGGGTTGGAGGAGAAGGGACAGGAGAGAAGATAAATTCTGTTTCTTGGCTATGTCCTTGCTTCTTCAGTGTTAATTCACTTTTTAAAGGGAATTTTAATACACAAGCGTATATTGATTTGATCATGCAATTTATAACCTTCTAAAATGCTCTTATAAAAGCATCTTCAATTATTTTAGATACATAATAAATAACAGGACAATTACTGACACATTCTATATTTCTTTCAAGCTTACCAAATCACCTATAATAGGCGTACATTCAAGTCTACCACATGCTTTTGTCAATTCCTTATTAAGAAGGTTTACTGCATATTCTTGTTTTATTTGCCAATGAATTAAAGCAGAAACGTATTTGAAGAATTAAATACTCTTTGAATGAATCAATGCGCTAAGTCGTAAGCTCTGTATCAGACCAGGAGGAACAAGTGACAGATGTTTCTTTGCAAACTGCCAGAATTAGTTTATGGCAAGTTTATATTTAATTCCTCTGTTTGCAATTAATCACCCTATACTTGTCTTTTTTCTTTCTTGGAGCCTGACTGCCTTCCCTGGAAACCAATTGAGAGCTACAAATAAAGCAATGCTTCCTGCAGGCTAAATTATTCCAGAGCTGCAGCAGCCCAGAGGCTGCCCAGACAGCAAGGCAGAACTCAGAGCGTCATGACAGGAGAGCATCAGTGAAGGCAATGAATGGATTCTTTGGAAATAAGAAAGTAAATACTGGATATTTTGCAACTGCACACTCGGCTCTAGAACAAATGATCCTGTCATAGGAGAGTAAGCTACGTACCACGTCCAGCCATGCTTGTTGGACATGGAGTACTTCTCCATGATGGCTGTGAGGCGAAGCAGGGAGAGGCGCTGGAGCAGGTTCAGCTGGCCCGCTGTCTGGTTGCTGATGTGAGGTGACGCCGGTGATGGCTGAGGCTGGTGTGACAGCTGGAAACTGTTCCACCGGAGTCGCCTGTCCCAGAAAGACCATCAGAGATGTCAGACACCAAGTGCAATAGATCACCAATGTACAAGGAGTAAATCAAGAGGTTCTGAGCCAGGAAAATCACAAAGTAAATGGAACAGAAAACACAAATATACAGACAATTTTGTTAAGTGGTTTAAATAAATTATACAATAACCTTTGCTTATTTTTTTTGTTTAAACCTTTGTTCCTGAAGTTGAGAACAATTGCAATTGGGTGTGTGTATGTGCATGAGACAGACAGAGATGGAGAGAAAGAGGAGACAGAGAAAAAAGACAGAGAGAAAGCAGAGAGAGACAGAATCAGAGAGAGAGATGGATAGTCAGAGAGAGAGACAGAGGCAAAGAAAGGCAGAAGAATAGAGATAGAGACAGAAAGGCAGAAAGAGAGAGACAGACCGGGAGAGCTCTTAAATGTTTGGGGCCTGTGGAATATGCTCACAGTGCCACCACTCCTCCACTCTCACTGTTGTTTGGTGCTGAGTTAGAACCTGACGGTGACAGGCATGGATGAGCAAGCCTAAAGTGATGACACATGAGTGAGCCCCAAGACACATCACTGTCCCACCAGACATCTAGCATCATACACGGAGTTACTATTTCTGCTAGGTGGGCCCTCCCAGGGACATTTGCTAGGGTGCTTCTGATCTTTGTGAGTCAGCTTTTATGTGTTTCATAAACAGCATTTTTAAGCAAAAACAAGCTTACAAGGAACACACCATAAATATAAAACATTTCCTCATAGGAGTAAAACAAGTTTAAAATCTGGGGCAGAGGCACATCGATTAATAGTGTTGCAAGGTCACGGGAGGAGCCTGAGCATAGGAACAGGGCCTTCGTTCTTTATGATTCTCTGTGGATCATGCCTGGCATAACATTTTGCAAATAAGAAACTCAATATTTTGTTTCAGTGACACTAAGATTGATATAAAGAGTGAATGGAGAAATGAACGTGAGTTAACATGGATCCAATCACCATGATACAAAAGACCTATTTCTGTTTAAATGATTCCTCACCACGTATATCACTTAGAACAGTGTCAGACAGATAGTAAGTTCAGTATTCATGTTTGTTAAAGAAATAATTAAAGCATAATTACTGCAAAATGCACAAACAATTATTTCAAAAGAGCATGCCACCTACCTGTTTGGCCGGGTCAGAGAGGCCCCTACTCCAGAATCCCTCCTTTCTCTGACACCTGGGGCCTCAGATTCATTAAGTGATGTCCCATCTCTTTCCATATCACTGGGTGTTGTCCGACCTTCCGAAACAGAGTTACCTTCAAAATCTAAGGCTATCTGATTAGGAGATGAAAAGGTGGGTAAACCAGGTTCCCCTGCCAATGCATCATGAGTTTGAAGTTCAGGCAAGACATTTTTCGACCAGTCATCTACTACCTCTCGTAGCCCATTGACATGCTGCAGAATGTCATCCAAGTGAGGCAACAAGTCGTCTTTCCCCAAGTCCAAAAGATCTCCTGTGCTGGCGTACAAATGGGACCCCGGGACGTTGTCATAGATACTGACTCGGCTTGCTCTGTGGCAGGATGCCATGAGCCTAGGCTCCCTTGCACAGGGACCCTGCTGTCTGCCCAGGGAGATACTACCAGTCCTCCAGTTGACCCCATTGCTGTTGTCAGTGGGCGAGAGGCTTTCGATAGAAAGTGCCTTGGGAAACGTTCCTGGTTTGTGATCCTTGGGAATATGCACCACCAAGTTCTCTTGGGAGTGAAACTCATGTGTGTGGTGTTGGTCCCCGGCATCTTGCAGTGCTGTGCCTGCCAGCACATCCAGGTCCTCTAAGTACATGCCACCTCGCTTGTGCGCCTTGTGGCATTTCCGTTCCTTCAGGCAGGGCGTGCTCACCCCGCTGCTACTGTTTTCAGATGGGCTGCTCTCGCCGCTGGATTTGCTGGAGCATGGGAAGCCTTTTTTGCAGGCAGCAGGAGGTGAGTTTTGAAGATCTCCATTTGGTATTTGGATGCACTGCATAGCCTTAAAAGACTCTGGCTCCTGCTGCAGCACAGGCCCACTGATCATCAGGCCACCTGTCCGCCCTGACCCCTTGTGCCTTCCATGCACTCCTTTCACTCGGAGCGTTTCCATACGTTTCATAAATGATTTGGCTCTGGTCCTGGTGGGTTTCTCATTCTTGGGGTGGAAAGGGTGGTTGAGCATGTCTCGGGGGGACTGAGGGAGACTGCTGCAGACCAGTGGGGCATCCAGCATGGCCGGGCTGTCTGTACAGTACTGGCCTGCCAGGCTGCGGCCCTCACTGCCTCCGCTGCTCTCACTATGGATGGAGCAGACCTCAGGCTCACTCAGGTCTGTGAGAACACTCTCACTGCTGGTCGTGTTTCTCATCCTAGTGCCTCCCGGGGATCCATTTCTGTCTCCTCCGGGAAACAGCGTGTGGAGCTCGTCCACGCGAGACCACCTGCGGCTGGTTCTTTGAAAAGTCCATTTGTTGCTGATGCAAAGATCTTCCTCATCTGAGTCGTCACCCTGAAAAACATAAAGGGAAATGCTCACCAACAGGGAGCGTGACTGCAGTGGGAACTTCAGGCAGATGGAGCACGGGATGGACTGGCATGCCACCTCATCTGACCTCCATCCTCTTAGTTTGAGAACTTGCTGCATTTCTAGGGCACCACTATGGGTCTTTCCACTGTCCTGTATGTCCTCTTCCCACCTGGTGGCAGGAGGACCTCTTTGCAATTTGTCAAGCTTTCTTCCTTTATGTTTTCATAGTTTTTGAATCTTTCCTTCCTTGCTAAGGAGAGTGTAATTACCATTTGACTAGACAGTCTAAATATAAAACACTGCAGTCCTCTTTCTCACAAAGAACTCAACCTTGCCATAAAAAGCACTTTTTTCCTGAAACCTCTTTAATGGGATTGGATTTCCACCTCCCCTCTTCTCAACATCAAGGTCAATATATCTCAAAACTAACCCTCCTTACCTTAGTCTCCTGAGTCTGATTCTTAACATATCTTCCCTGTATTAGTAAAAGCAAAATCAACTGAATTTCTTTAAGTAGAAATTGGGAGCCATTCTAAAGATCACATTTGAAGGTCATCCAATCCAGTTTGCTCTGCCTGATTCAGACTTTTAAAAAAAAATAAACTCGGGAACCAGCAGTTAGCGTAATGGCTATGTCGCTGGACTCCCACGTAGTCGACCGCGGTTCGTGTCCCGGACCCGGTGGCTTAAAACTCACGCCGGGCACGTGTGCGTGCGTGCCCAAGATCCCGAGAGGAGAATGGAGGAGAAGGGATTGCGGCGTGACCATCCCCCCTGGGGGGTGATTTCTCGCTTTCTGTCTCTATGTCTCTCTCTGTCTGTCTGGCGAGCGCACGCGCCCTACAGTGAAAATCTCTCCAAAAAAAAAAATAAACTCCAAATCTGAATGTCTCTGTCGGGACCTGCATCTCCTGCTGGCCTAGGTCATTCCCCACACCATTGTACTGTTTACACCCTGGGCCTCACATATTTACCTTACTTGTCTGGTTTCTGCCTGAATTTGCAGCCCTGAAGAGGTGAGAGTCTGCATTCCCTGAGGCTAGAGAGGGCCTTGTTTACCTTTGCACACTCTTGGGCCCAGCACAGACCTTGACTTAAGGCAGATAATTTCCTTCTAAAATGAACAGAATGATCAGCTCCTTCCTTCGACTCACTACCCGTATCTCCGAGATCCCATACTGAATGACTTTCAGATTTGTTCCCTTGTTCAAATCTTTACTCACATACCCTTACTCTAGGACCTCCCCGTCTCTCTCTGATCTAGTACAGTAAAAACCTGGCTAGTTCCTGGGACCAGCAGTTAGAGTAATGGCTATGTCGCTGGACTCCCATGTAGTTGACTGCGGTTCGCATACCAGACCCGGTGGCTTAAAACTCATGCCACCTGGCTAGTTTCCTTGTTTCTAGAATCTTTCTTATATAAACATTTTTGTATAGCATAGTCTAAATGTGATTTTTACAATTTCCCATGTTAAATGCCTTCATCTTGAAAGTCTACTCTCAGCTACTATAGGTAAGCTCATTAAGAGCAGGGAGAGTGTTTCTCTGGTTCATATTTATTCTCTGTTCATTTGTATTTATTCTGTTTATAAATACATGTTAAACATCCCTCACCTGTAAATCTATAATGCTACAAAATCTGAAGCTTTTTGAGCACTGACATGACATCAAAAAGGAAAGTTTCACCTCTGATCTCATGTGACAGGTCACATTAAAAAATATTGTATACACTTACTTTTAGGTTATATGTTTACGGTGTGTGTATGTGAAATATAAACTAATTGTGTGTTTAAACTTGGCCCATCTTCCAAATATTTCATTATATTTATGCAAATATTCCAAATTCTGAAAAAGCCAAATTTCAAAATACTTCTAGTCCATGCATTTCAGATAAGAGGTACTCAACCCATGCTTATATCGTAACCAATGGCAAGCACAGTAATTACACACACACACACACACACACACACACACACACACACACACAGTTAATTGAAGGAAGTTTATTTATTTACTTAAGGTTTTTGTCATAGGGCATGTATGCTTGCCAGAGAAAGACAGAAAAAGGGAGAGTGAGAAATCATCACTAGGGAGGGACAGTGATGGTGCAATCCTTTCTCCCTTTTCCTCCTGGGATTTTGGGCATATATGCATATGTGCCCGGCATGATTTTCAAGCTGCCAGGTCTGGGACTTGAGCTATGGTTGGCCATGTAGGAGTCCAGTGGCTTAACTACAATGCCACCTGCTGGCCCCAAAGTAAGTTTTATTTTATTCTATTTTGGCAGTCAGTTTTAAGACCTGGTTTCAAGTATCAGTGGCACCCCATTAAGAGCTCTGTGACAATGAGCAAGTTATTTACCCTCTCTGAATAAATTTCTATTACTTACAAAATAAGATGAAATTAGGCCCTTATACGTGTGCTGAGAGGCCATGCATTTAGTAGTCACTCATGAGGAGTGTTTATTTGTCGTTTTTCAATGTTTGTTTAGCTGCCTGCCTTTTTACACACCTAGCATATACCTTAATTCTCTGTAATACTGCAATGTATTCTATTTTCAAGGAAAAAGAAATACATGTATAATCAAAAATTGTTGAGGTATTCCAATTATTGTTTATTCTTTCAAAAAATAGATTCTGGATGGGTTGGACTAAATGACAAATTTTAACATTCAGGTATAAGGTGGAAGAAAGTGGAAAGCCAGAGACTGAATAAGAATTTCACAGTTTAAAACAGGAGAGAGAGCCCAGAAAGAAATCTATATTTTTATGGCCAACTTATTTTTGACAAAAGTGCCAACACCATACCACATAATGGAGAAAAGTCAGTCTCTTCAATTAATGGTGTTGAACTGTATATCCAAAGCAGAAAAATGAAGAGAACAAAGAGAAAAATATTCTTGACATTGATCTGGGAAGTAATTTGTTGGATATGACTCCAAAGCAGAAGCAGCAAAATAGGGTTGCATTGAACTAAAAAGCTTCTACACAGCAAAGGAAACAGCTAGCACCATTAACCAATAACCTATAGATTGGGTGAAAATACTTGTAAATAATACATTGGATAAGAGGCTAATATCAAACTTCTTAATAGCAAGAAAGCACATAATCCTATTTAAAAATGGGAGAAGTAGGCCAGTCAGTGGGGTGGTGGTTAATGCAGATGGATTCCACATGACCAACTATGCAGTTCAAATCCTAGACCTGGTGGCTTGAAAAACATGCCAGGCATGTTTGTGTGCACATGCAAAATCCCAAAAGGAGGAAGAAATGGAGGAAAAGGAACTATGGTATGGCCATCCCCCATGGGGACTTCTTTCTTACTTTCCCTCTCTCTCAGGTAAATGCAAACACACTTTGGCAAATTAAAAATAAAATAAGCAAAACACTTGAATAGCTATTTCTCAAAAGAAAACATTCAAATGGCCAACAGATATATGCAAAAAATGCTCTGTATCTCTAGGCATCAGAGAACTGCACATTAAAATCATAATAAGACAGAATCTCACACTTGTTAGATTGACTCTTATCAAAAAAGATAATAAATAATAATGTTGGGAAGATGTGGAGAGAAGAGAAACTTTGTGTACTGTTAGTGGTATTTTAAAATAATAATCTAATACAACTACTTTGGAAAACAGTATGGGGGTTTCTTAAAACTCTAAAACCATACAATGGTTGGGACCAGCAGTTGGCATAATGACTATATTACTGGATTCCCATGTAGTCGACCACAGTTCCAGTCCAGGACCCGGTGACTTAAACTCACGTTGGGTGCATTTGCATGCGTGGCCAAGATCCTGAGAGGAAAATGGAGGAGAAGGGATTGCGGTGTGGCCATCCCCCCGGGGGCTGATTTCTCGTTTTCTCTCTCTCTGTCTCTCTCTGTCTTTCTGGCGAGCACATGAGCCCTATAGCAAAAACCTCTCCCAAACAAAACAAAACAAACAAGCAAACAAACAAAAAACCTTTTTTTTGGGTGCACTGATTTAATTTCCCTTTGCTATATATCCACTGGTTTTCACTGAAATGAAATCAGTATACCAGAGAGGTATCTGCACTCCAATGTTAATTGCAGCATTGTTTACAATAGTCAAATATGGAAAGAACTGAAGTGTCCACTAAAGGGTGAATTAATTTAAAAAATTTGAAATATATACACAATGGAATACTATTTCAGCCTTAAAAGAGCAAGAAATTCTGTTATTTATAACAACATGGATGAACCTAGCAGGCATTATGCTAAGTGAAATAAGCAAGGTACAGAGAAACAAACACCACAGGATCTCAATTTTATGTGCAATCTAAAAATGTTAATCTCATAGAAGTAAAGAGTAGAATGGTGATTACCAGAGGCTGAGGGCAGGAGGTGCAGGGGAAAAGAGAGATGTTGGCCAAAGGGTATAAAGTTTTCGTAAGACCGCAGGAATAAATGTTGGTGCTCTATTGCACAACGTGGAAACTATAGTTAATAATAATGTACTGTATATCTTAACATAACTAAGAGAGAGGATCTTAAATGTTCTCATCACAAAGAAATGATAAATATTCGAGTTGGTAAATATATTAATTAGCCTGATTTGATCATTCTATAATGTATACATGTATAAAAACATCACATTGTACTTCATAAATATATAATATTTGTTAATAAAAAATAAAATACAAATTAAACAAAGAATTCCATATTTTTGAGTTCACAGTGGAAAAATAATGTTTGATTTAAAATAAAAGTATAAAGCTTTGGTGAGAGAATTTAGTTTTGTGAAAGAGTCCAGGAAAAAAGTAGGAAAAAAATGGAAAAAGGCAAGACTCTGGGGTACTGACACAATATTACTTTCTTTGTATTACTTTCTACTTCCTCTTTTCCAGTGATTTATATAATAGAAATCAGCATCTGAGGGCCATTTATATAGAAGAAATCATGAGAGGCTGAAGATTACACTTATTGGATTTTCATATTGCATTTTTAGAAAGCTACTG